CATCTAGAAAATTTTCTGTATTTTATGCTAGTTTTTTTCAAATCTCACCATTATCAACCCCATACGTGACAGATTTGAGGGTCCGCTATCTAGGGAGGCCAGGGTACTCATTTTGAGATGTGATAAATGACATCTGTAGAAATGGCAGTGGCTGCGGGCGGCGGTGGGCAGCTGCCACCCCCTCTCCTTTGCACCAGGAATTTGGTCACTAGAAAAATCAGGACATCCCAGTCACGCCGGCTTGTGTGAAAAGTGTGGGTCCCAGCAAAACTGAACTCCTTGAGCACCCTTCATCTTCAGCAATGGGAGAACCTGCTGTGTGCGAGCAGGGGTGGGGGCTTTCAGAGATTCCTTGATACCCTGGGGTATTTTTTTGGCTGCCAGCAGGTTTAGGGAGGGGAAGCGGGGCGCTTTCCCACGCTGGCTGTGCCGCAGCACCCCCCCCCCTTCACTCCTCCCACACGGAAAGGAATTCCCAAAGCATCACAGCAAGTCATTCCCAAAGCACATCGGTGGCAGAGGTTTGCAAAACCCCCAAAGCACTCTTCTTATTTTCATTTTCAGTCATAAGATTAAATAAGCCACACAATGTATATGATTCAGCAAAGCCCGTCCAGCCCCGGCTGCTCGTTCTCCTGAGAGCCAGAGATGGGTCCTGTGCCCATCATCCCAAAACGGGCAAAGACGTTGGAACTCAGAGCATCAAATCAGGTTTTTCCTGCAGTAGATTTATTGATCTTTTATGAATTTACACAGGCTGTGAAACCTGTTTGAAATGGTGCACTCTACTGGGTTATTCCCTTCATTTTATGATATATATGTGGATTTTTCCCTTTATTTTCTGATATATATGTTCAGATAGAAGTATTTTCTAATACATATATTTTCTGATATAGACATTTTTAAATCATTTGGGAATGCAGTGAACGTTCTTTGGATGCATTTTCCTGGTTCGCTCCACTTGTCACCAAACTGCCAGATTTTGCATATTTTTTTTTCCCCCACTAGTTTTGATTCTACACAGCTACTCTCTTTTCTCCTGACGAAAGTCTTGAAATGAGGGACTTTGGGCAGCGTGTTGGTGTGCTTGGAAAAAATGTGCAGCAGCAGCAGCTTAGATGTGAGAAGGTTTCAATTATTCCTGTTTAAAGTTGTGCTTCGTCAGCCCTGGCTCGTGTTGCAACCTCTGCTCCAAATACTGCCATTAATTAAAACAACTAGGCGTTTTTCATGTGCAGAGGTAGCATATGTCCTCGTAAATGGATGTATTATGGATGTATTAAGCCAGTTAGAATCATAGAATCATTTAGGATCATCGATTCCAACCATCAGATCACTGTAAAAAGTTAGTAGAAAACCTCTATTGTTTCTGGAGTCAAAATACGAGTTTCAAACATGCACATGGGGAGCTGTGTCATTTACTCCAGTTCAGGTAATACGGTGTTAAAACCGCCCAAAGCTTTATAAAAGGGCTATATGAGAAATACAAAACCAAGTGACAAAACTTCTCACATCCCACTGCAATATTCAAGCCAAGTGACATCCAAGTGCCAAGACAAACCGGACGTGAACACCTTCATGTTAAACTTCACGTTCCCATCTGCACGTCGGCAAGGGTGTAGAAATTGTCTACATCTTGAGATGCTGATGCCTTGCTCTGTGATGATACAAAAACCTCCGTCCCACTAAAAACATCATTTGTAGTGTTTTGACAGCCTTCCACAGCACCAGCTCCACTGAACTCCAAAGCAACCAGTGGACCTTTTTCAAGTAGTGGAATGAATTCTGACGCACGCTGCTGGAAAACCCTGTGAGCATCCTCTGCTGTCAGTGAGACTTCTTTAGTCTGTACCAGCTAAAAAACTTTGTCAGTCAGGCTTCCAGTTAGGGTTTTCATTAAAAAATAAAAATAAAAATTTGACAAAAGAGAGGAGAGGAGAGGAGAGGAGAGGAGAAAGGAAAGGAAAATAAAAAGAAAAGAAAAAGAAAAAGAAAAAGAAAAAGAAAAAGAAAAAGAAAAAGAAAAAGAAAAAGAAAAAGAAAAAGAAAAAGAAAAAGAAAAAGAAAAAGAAAAAGAAAAAGAAAAAGAAAAAGAAAAAGAAAAAGAAAAAGAAAAAGAAAAAGAAAAAGAAAAAGAAAAAGAAAAAGAAAAAGAAAAAGAAAAAGAAAAAGAAAAAGAAAAAGAAAAAGAAAAAGAAAAAGAAAAAGAAAAAGAAAAAGAAAAAGAAAAAGAAAAAGAAAAAGAAAAAGAAAAAGAAAAAGAAAAAGAAAAAGAAAAAGAAAAAGACTTTTTAAATATTTTCAACATTTTGTCTCTAGCGGTCTCAGTCTTTGCCTCGTTGTCCCAGTGCAGGGGCAGGAGGGCGCCGGGCTGGGTTGACCCTCAGCTTCACCCGGGGGGGGGGGCTGCTGGACCCGGGGTGAAACTGGGGGAACTGGAGGGCCCGGGGGGTCCATCTGAGCAGCCAGCGGTACCAGGCGTCGCCCACCCCCATGCCACCCCACCCCGTGTGCGCC